CTATTGTATCGTTAAAAATTATTTTTTTATTTTGTACAAACAAAATAAATATATTGAAAAATATAAAAATAATAAAAAATTATACTTCAGATGTTAATTTAGTATCAAAAACGTTAAATATTTGAGTAGCCCAAGACATTGCCAAAGATTGAAGCGCCACAGTACTGGCGAAAATTTAAATTTGCCGACTGGAATTCTTTCGGATGATTGACTTTCGGAAAATCGACGCTCTACTGTAATTATATACCAGGATTTCTCGGTTGCTGAAACACAAATCACTTTTTTCCTTGAAACCTCGAGATAAGCAAAAGACCGGGAAATGAGAAATCCTGCTAGCTATCATTTATTTTCAGCAATTTAACGAAGCGTGATAAGTCGAATAAAATTCGGGGAAAAACAAATACTAACCCTGTGAACATATTTAAAATGATATTTGAATTTGAGCATAATACGTGTTTCTTTGTAAGACTTTGTCCCATGTCTTATTAACTTAATAGTAATTAACAAATTTTATTACGCAGGATTAGTTTCCCACGAATTCTTTATAATTCATGCTAGTAAAATTATTTAACAGTTAAATAGATACCTTTTAGTTTTGGAGATTTGAATGGCTAGTTTAGTTAAAAACATACTCAATCTTTACTAAACCAGCAAATAGGTAGTTAATAAAACAGCAAACTAAGCCTTTAGTTTGCTTCACGTTGCACTTACACACATCTAAACCTTAAAGACGCACAACATTTGTATAATACACAGAGAGAACTGTAGACAAATATGACTGTACTGTATTACTTGAAGTCTAACACGAGGTAATACATAGCAACTTTAGGATTTTACAAAACAACTAATTTTAAACAATATTTTATACTTTGTATAATGTTGAACTCAAAATTAATACATTAAGCAGAATACAATTCATGTGATGATCTGATAGAACAGTAAAAGTAAGTGTTTGGTGAAAAATATACATACAGCAGTTGGCTGTAGATATAAAATAAAAAGTGCTTACCCAGGCAGAAAAAACACATCACTATGCAATATGTCCTCGAACTGTGATGAAGCACTGACATCATCATGGCAGTCTCATCATCATCATCACCATTTGACTTTCCATCTATCATCGCCAGTAATTGTGTTCCTCTTTAATTTAAGTTTTGAACACGTGTGTGTTAGGTAACCATACAAAAAAGTGTAACATAAATTATAAAATAAAATCTCTGTATTATTCTGTTATACTGTATCAAGCCAACGGATCTCTTAGTCAAGTGGTTTTGCTCAGTTCTGATGTTACTAGTCTTGTTTGCAAGTAAATAAATAAATACTTTGATCCAAATAACAATGAAACAAATTTGTCTTACAATTATTTATTAGACAACAAAAATATAATAATATTGCACTTGAAGAAAAACTACAATCGAATTAACAATATATTAAATGTGAACAATGTATGAATATAAATTTATTGTTCCTATTTAATATATAGCATGATTTATATATATATTTAAATACCTATAACAATGTACAAATATTTAACAATACTCGTTATGGCAAAATTATTTATAATCGATGTAATAGCTTAATATTCAAAAAAATATCGAATGACATAATTTTATGCTCGATATTTTAAAAAAATTGAACATTTAATTAAATTTTATGCATATTCTATCAAAATTTATAAAACAGGTATTACTCCCACACCTACCCCACCCTCGTGTGCCCACATAGAAGCCACAAAACTCCATTGGTCTAGTTCGGGATTGTATACTTCAACCGTGCTCAGGTTCGACACTCCGTCGTATCCTCCTATGGCATAAAGTTTCCCACAGTTAGTCACTAGGGCCACCCTGCTACGCATTACGTTCATAGGTGAAATGTAACTCCATTGTTTAGTCAGCGGATCATACACTTCCGCTGTTTGCAAAAAGGTAGAGCCGTCGTACCCACCGCACACATATATCTTGCCGTTCAGAGTAGAAACACCCAATCTGCACCGTTTCGTCAGCATGGGTGCCATGGGAGTCCATTGACCTGTCTGAGGATCATATCTCTCCACCTGTTGCAAATCACAGATAGAGTCCACTTTCATTAATACTATAAAAACCGAATTAGTCCATTAATCGTACTTACGGAATCAAAGATAGAAAGTCCATCGTGTCCACCCAATGCATAAATGTGTCCTTCGAAAGCCACCACTCCTGCTGCACTGCGATGTTTGGACATACTGGTCACCATAGTCCATCTGGAATATTTTGAATAAGTTCCAATGTTAAAAATATGATTCAAATTTAGAAATTAATAAATATTTTATCATTATGTAAAATGTTACATTTAATAGTTAACTGCATATTAACCAAATTAAATAATTAATTTCTATATACTGTATATATCAAGTCAAATCCAGGTGAGCATCCCTCCAGAAATTTTTCATGGGCAGTCTGAGCTGAATATGTCAGGCCCCATCCCATTGCGATTCTATTAAACTCACAATGAGTGCAGAAAAAAGGACCACTACTGCCCACAGGGCATAGGTCTATTTTGGAAAAAGGACCAGTATTTTGCTCTAGAGAAAAAACAAAGCTTAATGGCATCATTCAAATTCTCTGAAGTCTACAAAAGTTCACACACAACTATAAATAAAAAAATTTATATCAGATTAACGTTGCTTAATGAACCTAAAATATGTCCAGAAGTGCAACCAGTAGAAGTACTATCGCTTGTTAAAATCCACCAAACACAAACTTTAGTACTTATAGCAACATGACAAATGGGTTATCTGGTGAGAGGGATGTCTCCTAGAACTTTCTATGGGTAACTTGCACTTATTTAGGTGTTATAACCTAAAGAAAACTCGGAAACTTCCACATGGCCTGCCTGTTGTTGAGGTGCAAACCCTTGACTAACTACAAGTGTTTAGTGTGGCCATTGGCAAGTACAAAAGCTTTAGTTAAAAATACTTGTGTCAGCTTCTGGAGTTATCCTAAGTGGAACATCACTTCAGTGAATAAGTGGTGCAATGTAATAAAGTTTTGCATTTTATAAATCAACCCTTAGATTTGCAGAGAATTTTCCTATACTTAAAAGGTCAATTTCTAATATACCCAGGGTGGCCAAGCTCCTTGATAGTCCAAGCCATTTTTCAAAATTTGAAATTTTTTGCGAGCCGCAATTAAATACGTATTAAAAAGGTATGCAAAAAATTCCAGAATACAAATTATATCCGTAGCAAAAGTGATACAAATTGTTTCTTCCAGAGCAATGACAGTTTACAAATTCAAAATCGATCTGGAGTAGGTCGATAACAGACAATTACGCCACTGTTTATGTTCGTTCGAGCAGTTTTCGATGAGTCATATCATTCTTAACTTGGATGGAAATGAAATTTGTTACAACGTTGCACATAGTCTTTCATATTTGTTGTTAGTAATTTAAAAGACATTTTGAAACACATACGGAACGATAATAATTTTTAAAAATATAATAACACAAAAATGAAAAGGGAACTCAGGTACGTTTATCGAGAGCCACAAATAATCGTTCAAAGAGCCGCATGTGGCTCGCGAGCCGCAGGTTGGCCACCCCTGTAATATACCATATATACCAATATATATTGAATAAGTTATTGGATCATAGTAGAATTAGTGAGTGTCCATTACATTGTTCACGAATGTTCGACAATATACAAGAAATAACATACTGAACTACTAACTTATCCATACACTAATTATTTTTTGGAAAAACTTAAAACAATAATATACAGTATATTATTTATAAGTAATTTAGGATCACCNTGTGTAAGAATTCAGATTGTTTAAAATTTTAATGTATGCATTGTTGTATGCTACTATTTTCGTAATAAATGTTATAAACTTATGAATTTTATAAGGTATTTTTTGATTTTCTTCGATATGTCCTTTATTTTCCCCAAAAAAATATGGTCACTGTAATTATATCAGAAAAATATTTTTTCCATGGCTTGTTCTCATGCAGTCATCAAAGCAAGGGAAAGACTGACAAAGTATTAGGTCATAATGTTAATAAACAAATCCTTTGTTAAATAAACCAACATATATTCTTAACTGGCTAATTATTTTACGGTTAATGTCACATTTATCAGTTAATGTAGAAACCCTAAACTTTTTTTATATTAAAGTATGTTACTGATTATTTCATTTGAGCACTACATGTCATTTAATTCCATATTTTCCTGCTATTTTTAATCATAAAAAAATTTTAAAAAATAGAAAACATCAAAAGTGATTACTCTTACCTTCTTTTACAGTTCATAGATGCAACTTTACTCCATGTTCTGGAATTAGGATCAAAGACTTCAACGGTGCTGAGTCTCTCGCTGCCATTGTAGCCGCCGATAGCATACAGTTTGTTATGCATAACAGAAACACCAACACGACTTCTCAACATGGTCATGTACTTTCACGTTCATTGTACTGTGGAGTGCAAAATGGTTTCCCTCATCGTGACATGATTCACGTCATGATGAGGAAAACCATTTTGAATTCCACAATACATATGATTTGCAACTAAAAGCCCATATTTCATCATAATGTGTTTAGCTGAGCAGTGATGAGTCATTTACATGAGCCAATTTTATCATTTATTGTATCCTTAGAGGTTATAAAAGGCATTATTTACAATTATCCCCAAGAAAAAGTGTCTGGCTGTTGTTTTGAGTAAATATAAGTTTTGCATAAATCATATAGCCTCTGAACTATAATCATTCCATGGTGTCTTCATTGCTGTGTAAGGGTCTGAAACATGTCTGTAACCAGGACAAAAGCAGATGAAAAATAGTAATCTCTAGAAGTTTGAAGTATTTATGTCTTAAAAATTAACATTATTCATCTACAGATGTGAAAGCTGACTAGGAAGAGTAGACTGGCTTAAAAATAAGTTCAGTAATTATCAGGATAAGATTATTCTAAGCTCTATTTAAAGGCCATCATCCCAGAAAGCCTATTCTGGCAAAGAAACAAAAAAGTGAAGCAGCTTCAATAGATCAAGAAACATTCCAAACTGTCTGAAGAAGAATGGAAGAAAGTTACATTTTCAGATAATTCAAAATTTAATCTTCATGACAAGTATATGCTGGGAGACAGTACGGTGAAAAATTCCACCTGAATTGTCTGAAAAGATCCTATATGTCAGATAATTTGGAGCAATATTTCTTACTAAGGAGTTGACCAACTACATTTTATATACATTCAGAGGATGCACAAGTATACAGAGATAACCTTTACATCATGTGTAGTATCGATAATTTCTGATCATTTTGGAGAGATTGGTGAATGCATCTTTTGAGGTGATTCTGCTTCATGCCACAAAGCTAAATAATAATTCTAATAAACTTTTCCTAAAAATAATTCAGTGTTATTTGTTTGAATTTTTCTAGTGAAAAATTAAGTTTCCCAGCATTTTATTATAATACCTGCATGTCAGGAAACAGCCCAGATCTGAACCTATCAAGTTTTTGGAACCAAATGGCAGAGCTGTTGCAGATAACCAGTTTTAGAAACATTGATCAGCCTTATGAAGCACTCATAAATGTCTGGTACCACAATATGCCAATAGATTATATCTACAGTGACCATACGTCCTTTATTTAAGAGGACAGTCCTTTATTTCACTGCTCTGTCCTTTAACTTTATTTATTTTCTAAAATAGGCATTTTGTCCTTTATTTTGTAAAGTTGACGCAAAGTTTAAAAAAACATTTTTAATAATATATTGAACAAGTTAGTTTTGTGTACGCCATCACGATCAGTGTTGCATTGCTACATAGAGCGCAGTAGTGCAGTGTGTCGCCAACCAAACGGCCCACTGACAGTACCAGGCGATGGACACTCTTATGGGGATTTTTGTGATAGTTTTTTAACTCTCTAGTTGGTGGATGATACACTTGTTAATTAAAGCTAAAGTTAGTTGAAAGAAAAAATGAGGGGTTTCTTCCTATTGTTATTAGAAAAGTGGTCTTAGCATTAGAAAAATCAGAAAATATACAAGCCAAAAAATTCAATGANTTTTTTTAGTTCTTTTAGGCCATCATAATTATATTTCACATAGCCTTTATTTGCAACCGTCTGTAATCTTTCCAACGTTTGCTCTTTCATCACCACAAATGATTGCATTTTCGTGTCGTCCAATACGTTAATCGTCAGTTACAGCAATTTGTCAACTTTGAACTTCATTGTGATACTCGTAACATCTTCACTTTGATAGAGCTTCCTCCCTGCAGCTTATTTTATCAAGACGGGCGTTTTTCTGTCGTTTCCTCCAATTTAACGCAAAATTTGATGCATATTCTCTTATCTTCCCTGACAAATTCTGAAGACAGATAGTGTGAGTGTTTGAAACTGTGAATGATAATTGAAGATATAACCTATATTGATATGTCGATTACATACTTAAAATATTTTTATATTTTACTTCTGACAAAATTGCATGTGTCGGCTACTATTTTTGCATTATCTCAGGACTGGATGAGACAAAAGTCTTGAAATTTCACAGCGTAATTTCTATATATGGGGCATTACTGCTATTAAATTTTGGTGGCTACAATTAAGTCAAGAATAAGGAAATTGGAGGCATTCATAAACCATACTTCAAGTGGGGTAAAATTTAATGAGAATTTCACTCCTTATTAGCATTTATAATTTTTTTAAAAATTCGTCTCTACCCTCAAAATTTAACGTCTTTTGTCTTTTCATAGTAATTAATAATATTAAAAAATTTTTATGATAAAACTGATAACAGATGGCGCCGCATACTATTTATCTATTATAAATAATGATACAAAAGTTATTCTTTAAATAAAATCTCTTAACAGCGGAGATAGTTGGCAAATGTTGATGGATTTTTTTTTCAAATCGTCTACACAATTCAAAGGATTTTTTTCTTTTCTTGTTGTAATTAATTATCAATTAAACTTCAGTTCAAAGACAATTTTTAAAACATTTACACAACAACGTCAATTTTATTCCTATGATGCAGATTACAAAACATATCAAATCAGTCTCAAAAATGAAAATAATTGCCGTTGTTTTCAAGTACATATTTACTCTATAATATATTCCAAATATAATTACAGTAGAGCGTCGATTTTCCTAATCAATTGGGGACTGGGGTTGTCCGGATAACTGATATTTCGGATAACTGATTTATGTACGAAAAAATAGTTTAAGGTATCCGATGTCGAAATTTTTCTCCGTTGCTTGTCGCTTCGCATTGAATTTTCGTCGATGTTAAGCCTAACAAAGACTATTGTATCGTTAAAAAATATTTTTTTATTTTGTACAAACAAAATGAATATATTGAAAAATATAAAAATAATAAAAAATTATACTTCAGATGTTAATTTAGTATCAAAAACGTTAAATATTTGAGTAGCCCAAGACATTGCCAAAGATTGAAGCGCCACAGTACTGGCGAAAATTTAAATTTGCCGACTGGAATTCTTTCGGATGATTGACTTTCGGAAAATCGACGCTCTACTGTAATTATATACCAGGATTTCTCGGTTGCTGAAACACAAATCACTTTTTTCCTTGAAACCTCGAGATAAGCAAAAGACCGGGAAATGAGAAATCCTGCTAGCTATCATTTATTTTCAGCAATTTAACGAAGCGTGATAAGTCGAATAAAATTCGGGGAAAAACAAATACTAACCCTGTGAACATATTTAAAATGATATTTGAATTTGAGCATAATACGTGTTTCTTTGTAAGACTTTGTCCCATGTCTTATTAACTTAATAGTAATTAACAAATTTTATTACGCAGGATTAGTTTCCCACGAATTCTTTATAATTCATGCTAGTAAAATTATTTAACAGTTAAATAGATACCTTTTAGTTTTGGAGATTTGAATGGCTAGTTTAGTTAAAAACATACTCAATCTTTACTAAACCAGCAAATAGGTAGTTAATAAAACAGCAAACTAAGCCTTTAGTTTGCTTCACGTTGCACTTACACACATCTAAACCTTAAAGACGCACAACATTTGTATAATACACAGAGAGAACTGTAGACAAATATGACTGTACTGTATTACTTGAAGTCTAACACGAGGTAATACATAGCAACTTTAGGATTTTACAAAACAACTAATTTTAAACAATATTTTATACTTTGTATAATGTTGAACTCAAAATTAATACATTAAGCAGAATACAATTCATGTGATGATCTGATAGAACAGTAAAAGTAAGTGTTTGGTGAAAAATATACATACAGCAGTTGGCTGTAGATATAAAATAAAAAGTGCTTACCCAGGCAGAAAAAACACATCACTATGCAATATGTCCTCGAACTGTGATGAAGCACTGACATCATCATGGCAGTCTCATCATCATCATCACCATTTGACTTTCCATCTATCATCGCCAGTAATTGTGTTCCTCTTTAATTTAAGTTTTGAACACGTGTGTGTTAGGTAACCATACAAAAAAGTGTAACATAAATTATAAAATAAAATCTCTGTATTATTCTGTTATACTGTATCAAGCCAACGGATCTCTTAGTCAAGTGGTTTTGCTCAGTTCTGATGTTACTAGTCTTGTTTGCAAGTAAATAAATAAATACTTTGATCCAAATAACAATGAAACAAATTTGTCTTACAATTATTTATTAGACAACAAAAATATAATAATATTGCACTTGAAGAAAAACTACAATCGAATTAACAATATATTAAATGTGAACAATGTATGAATATAAATTTATTGTTCCTATTTAATATATAGCATGATTTATATATATATTTAAATACCTATAACAATGTACAAATATTTAACAATACTCGTTATGGCAAAATTATTTATAATCGATGTAATAGCTTAATATTCGGAAAAATATCGAATGACATAATTTTATGCTCGATATTTTAAAAAAATTGAACATTTAATTAAATTTTATGCATATTCTATCAAAATTTATAAAACAGGTATTACTCCCACACCTACCCCACCCTCGTGTGCCCACATAGAAGCCACAAAACTCCATTGGTCTAGTTCGGGATTGTATACTTCAACCGTGCTCAGGTTCGACACTCCGTCGTATCCTCCTATGGCATAAAGTTTCCCACAGTTAGTCACTAGGGCCACCCTGCTACGCATTACGTTCATAGGTGAAATGTAACTCCATTGTTTAGTCAGCGGATCATACACTTCCGCTGTTTGCAAAAAGGTAGAGCCGTCGTACCCACCGCACACATATATCTTGCCGTTCAGAGTAGAAACACCCAATCTGCACCGTTTCGTCAGCATGGGTGCCATGGGAGTCCATTGACCTGTCTGAGGATCGTATCTCTCCACCTGTTGCAAATCACAGATAGAGTCCACTTTCATTAATACTATAAAAACCGAATTAGTCCATTAATCGTACTTACGGAATCAAAGATAGAAAGTCCATCGTGTCCACCCAATGCATAAATGTGTCCTTCGAAAGCCACCACTCCTGCTGCACTGCGATGTTTGGACATACTGGTCACCATAGTCCATCTGGAATATTTTGAATAAGTTCCAATGTTAAAATTATGGTTCAAATTTAGAAATTAATAAATATTTTATCATTATGTAAAATGTTACATTTAATAGTTAACTGCATATTAACCAAATTAAATAATTAATTTCTATATACTGTATATATCAAGTCAAATCCAGGTGAGCATCCCTCCAGAAATTTTTCATGGGCAGTCTGAGCTGAATATGTCAGGCCCCATCCCATTGCGATTCTATTAAACTCACAATGAGTGCAGAAAAAAGGACCACTACTGCCCACAGGGCATAGGTCTATTTTGGAAAAAGGACCAGTATTTTGCTCTAGAGAAAAAACAAAGCTTAATGGCATCATTCAAATTCTCTGAAGTCTACAAAAGTTCACACACAACTATAAATAAAAAAATTTATATCAGATTAACGTTGCTTAATGAACCTAAAATATGTCCAGAAGTGCAACCAGTAGAAGTACTATCGCTTGTTAAAATCCACCAAACACAAACTTTAGTACTTATAGCAACATGACAAATGGGTTATCTGGTGAGAGGGATGTCTCCTAGAACTTTCTATGGGTAACTTGCACTTATTTAGGTGTTATAACCTAAAGAAAACTCGGAAACTTCCACATGGCCTGCCTGTTGTTGAGGTGCAAACCCTTGACTAACTACAAGTGTTTAGTGTGGCCATTGGCAAGTACAAAAGCTTTAGTTAAAAATACTTGTGTCAGCTTCTGGAGTTATCCTAAGTGGAACATCACTTCAGTGAATAAGTGGTGCAATGTAATAAAGTTTTGCATTTTATAAATCAACCCTTAGATTTGCAGAGAATTTTCCTATACTTAAAAGGTCAATTTCTAATATACCCAGGGTGGCCAAGCTCCTTGATAGTCCAAGCCATTTTTCAAAATTTGAAATTTTTTGCGAGCCGCAATTAAATACGTATTAAAAAGGTATGCAAAAAATTCCAGAATACAAATTATATCCGTAGCAAAAGTGATACAAATTGTTTCTTCCAGAGCAATGACAGTTTACAAATTCAAAATCGATCTGGAGTAGGTCGATAACAGACAATTACGCCACTGTTTATGTTCGTTCGAGCAGTTTTCGATGAGTCATATCATTCTTAACTTGGATGGAAATGAAATTTGTTACAACGTTGCACATAGTCTTTCATATTTGTTGTTAGTAATTTAAAAGACATTTTGAAACACATACGGAACGATAATAATTTTTTAAAATATAATAAC